AACAATGGAACAATGCTGTCCTCCACAAAAGATTCACAACAATGAGTGGTTTTTAATCTTAAAATGTCAGCAGGTGCTCGCTTAATGTTCTCTCTGAGAACTGCAATACCCTGATTACTCTTTCCTATGCTCTAGAAGTATGGTTATATTTAATCCCTCTGTTGCTTGTTCAGACATATGTTTGCTTCAGTTTCCTCTAGAGCAGCTTGAGCAGATAGAGATTTTGCTGCTGCTGAAGGCTCATCTGCAGCAGTGACTGACCTATGCTAGGCAGATTTCTGGGAGCTGCTGGCCTCCATCTCCTCTGCTGGCTCTTCTAGCAACTCCTTGCTATCTGAGCTGGCCATGACAGATTCATAGAGCTGAAAAAGATCACAAGGACCATCTAGTCCAAATCGCTGTCATGCAAGGAACACACAATCAATGCACTCCTGACAGATGGCCATCCAGTCTTTGCTTCAAAACCTCCAGAGAAGGAGATTTCCCCAGGCCCTGAGGCCACTTATCCCACCACTGAACAGTCCTTAACATCACGAAGTTCTAATATTCAAGTGGAATATCTTTTCCCTGCTATTTGAATCCATTGCTCTGTGTCCTGGTTTCTAAAGCAGAAGGAAACAAGCCTGCTTCTTCCAATATGACAATCTTCAGCTGTTCCGGCCTAGACTGTGGAATGTCAGAAGCAATTCAATAGCTGGATATGCTGCCCATATTTAAAATAGCACTAAAAACTAATCTCTTCTGACAGGCCTATCCAGATGTTTTTTAAAGTATACTTTTAAAATTATGAATTTATTATTTTAGTATGCTTGTTTAAATGATATTATGCTCTTTTAACTGCATGGTGTTCTGCGTTTTAAGCTGGTATCCATATATGTTGATGTATTTTAATCACACACACACACCCAATCAATAGTGAGATTATCATGTTTAAAAACGTGATATCTCTAATGGGGTATTATTTTTGCATTAGTTTGCCTTCTGACTTAAACAATTCAATTATTAGGAATTGTGAGAGCTGAAGTCCAAAACATCTGGAGGAGCACAGTTTGAGAAACATTGACTTAGATGATGGAATAGAGGGCGTGCTTATCAAATTTGCAGAAGACAACAAATTGAGTTGTTGTTTCTTCGTTCAGTCACTTCCAATTCTTTGTGACCTCATTGGGAGGGATTGCTAATATCCCAGAAAACAGAATCAGAATTCATAATGACCTTAACAGATTAGAGAACCTGGCCAAAACTAACAAAATGAATTTCAACAGAGATATGTATGGACTCTTAGGCAATAAAAATGAAATGTACAGGTATATGATGGGTACTACCTGGCACAAATACAATAGTGAAATGAATTTAGGAGGCCATGTATACTACAAGCTGAACATGAGTCAACAGCATGATATGCTGAGTCGCCTTCGGGCTGATATGGGCGGGATATAAATAATGTAAATAAATAAATAGATAAATAAATAAATTTAAAAAGCCACTGTGATTCTAGGCTGCATCAATATAGTGCCTAGGAGCTGTGGCCATGCTGAACTCTGTGGTTTCACACTGATGTGGCATTAGAGGCTATATGATGGTGGTGGGAATGTGGAGAGACAGGTGTGTTATTTTGTGGTGGTGGGGGGGGAGCAGAAGGCATGTAATTTTGTTGTACAGTAGCATAATAACAAATAAAGCTATTCTGCTCTATTCTAGTTCGAAGGAAGTCATAGCCCCACTCTATTCGGCTTTAGTCAGACCTCACCTGGAATATACTGTTTCCAGTTCTGGGCAGCACATTTCAAGATGGATATTGACAAGCTGGAATGTGTCCAGAAAAAGGTGACCAAAATGGTCAAATGTTTGGAAGCCTAGCCCTATGAGATGGTCAAATGTTTGGAAGCCTAGTCCTATGAGAAGCAGTTTAGGTATGTTTAGCTTGCAGAAAAAGAAGGCTGAGAGGGGACATGATAGCCATGTTTAAATATCAGAAAGGATGTCACATTGAGGAGAAGGTAGAGACTAGAACATGGAGCAATGGATTCAAATTGCAGGAAAAGAGATTCAACAGAAGAATTAGGAGGAACTTCCTCACAGTAAAAGCTGTTCAGCAAAGAAATATGCTGCATTACTGTGTGCTGGAGTTTCCTTCTCTGGAGATTTTTGAGCAGAGGCTGGGTGGTCATTTGTTGGGAGTGCCTATTGTATGATAAGACTTGGTTACTCAAATTCAAATCTCTGGTGATAGACTAGATTTTTATAATGAATTAATTAATTACATCATCAAACATTAGCTCAGTTGGCAACCTGCCCATCAGTATTTGGATGGCCTGGCAGTTCACAGTTCAACTTTCTTCCTATTTCACCCTTACTTGCTTTTAGCTGCATCAGAAAACTACTGCTAGTTTCAAACTCAGAAATCCCTTCAGTATAAACTATTTTCTCTTTTACAGGTCAAAATTCTCAAACAGCATACTTTATCTAGAGAATTTTATTACAATATATGCAGTCATTAATAGAAGATGTCAAACAAGACTTCATGACATATTTAATGCATTTGTGCCAGGGTAAAGTAGAAGCTGACTTAATCCCATGGTGACTTCAAAAGGATTTAATATATCTACTGTTTATGATTAGTGCCATTTAATCTACAGCTTCTGAATAAGAAGTTTCTCAAAATATGCAAATTTTCTTTTTCTTTAATGAGGTCCCTCTGGAATTAGCATATCATTTCTGCATTACAGAAAGGACTGGATCAAGCCAGCAGAGAAATGAAACATTTTATAAATGAAAAAATCCTTGCTATAACACTGTACTGATCATATTTTTTAAAAATTCAATCTGGTAAGAAAATTGCAGTTTTTGAATGTTTATCACCAAAAGAAAGATTGTTTGTTACTGCTGAAAAATTGCATCAAAATAGACAATAAGATCAATTCTGAGAAAAACTGAAATTGGAAGTTCACACCTGAAAAGCTTACAGAATGAAGGGAAGGCTTTACATGCAGTCCCCAAATTACGAACAAGAATGCTTCTGTAGATTTGTTCCTAAGCTGAATTTGTATGTAAGTCGGAAAAGGTACATTTGTAAGTGTATTTCCAGCCATACACACACACACCAGCCATATGTGTGTGTGTGTGATTGATATACACATATATACGGCTGCTGTGAACCTGAAGATACTAGAGCCTTCCTACCTCTAACAGCCCTTTGCTTTCCTTATGCTTTGGATAGCACAGGAAGGGTTAAGACCACTGTGGTATTTGTTTTGCTGAGTGAGCCCCTGGTCAGAAGATTGCACCTCAGGAGGCAATCTCTTTCAGGAGTGAATTTCCCTTCCTAAGAGTAGATTTCTCTCACTTCCTGTTGAGTCACACCCCCCCCCCCTTCTGAACTTTGAGTTATTTGTAAATCAGATGTTTGTAACTCTGGGACTACCTGTATTCAGAAACATAATGTTTTCAGTGATATATAATACATGAAAGAACTGTATGGGTTCATAATGAATATTATGGGTGTAATTTGTGGAGTAAGAGGTGCCATTCATTGCTTTGGTAAAATTCTAAATAGTGGTTCAAAGATTATTAAAAGTTTTGCACTGTATTAAACTCCACTTGAACAAATGGTGAACTGACGTTGGGCAGAAGCTAGAATCTTAAATGAAAGCTGCTTTCATTTAAAGTTTACTTGCTCAATTACAGCAATAACTACTGGCAAAATTCTATGATCAGAAATGATGTAGAACATCACAAATTGTTCTGGTTTACAAAACACCCTTCATGCAACCAGACTTTTCTTCGGTCTTTTGAGGAGCAGGGAGAGGACTAAACTGATATGCCCCAACAAATATGGTCCTTGTTCTTAACATGTTTTTCCTTAAGAACTGACGCCTTTCTACTTTCCACAGCAACGCGTGGCAGGGGACAGCTAGAAGAACTTATAAATGTTCAGAAGCAGTTTTCATCTGCTGAATATGTACAAAACACAAAACATTGTGTGTGTGTGCACCTCGAAGTCACTGTCAACTATGATGATCCCATGAACAAAACCTTATGCTGAAATCAACTGGTTAGTCTGAAAGGCACTCCCTTTTTCCTTAGATGTTATTGCAAATGGTTTAACCACTTGGGGGCAGTAATGCAGAGGTCTTATACTTCTTAACCAAATCCATAAAAGTCTTCTGATAAGTTTAACTACTATGGTTATTTCCTCATATAATGAAAACTGTGGCTTCTGATGAAATTCACCATCACTATACTATACTGGATAAACATATTTGTTCTGCTTTCCTCATCAGTTCCTTGAAGTACCAAACTCAGTTCAAAGTCAGTCTCATTAAATCAAATAAGACTTATTCCCAGATGTAGGATCAGACCCTTAAATTATTGTTCACAAACTACTAAAAAGGTAAAAATTAAATTTCATATAAGGCTAGTTGCAAAGATCTTTAAGTACTTTGGTAATCTCAGCCTGCAACGGAAAAATTCTGAGCATTTCAAGTCAACTTCTACATAGAAGGTAAAGCAAGTAGTATTCTATATACTTTCCTGGCAGAAGATGTCACTGAACACAGTGAACTATTTTTTAAAAATAATGACAGGTTGTAATGTAAAACAATAGTTAATGCTGTAAACAACATTAGGAGGTAGGAAATATTTTTTCTAGTATCAAACTACAGGAAAAGGCACATTCTAGTGAAACAAGATTAATTTTTCAAAGTAGAAAAAATATGACCAGTAATTATCTTACCTATTGTAGTGAAAAGCAGTAAGCCTGTCTCTACCACCTGGGCAAATGATAGTAATTCAATTGTTGTGGCTTTACATTCATTTTCTTCTGTACTCCTCTGCCTCCCTCCATTGAGATCCTCAAGTATTTTAAAAGCTTGTTTATATACACAAGGCTGTAATTCAGGCCGTTTATCAAGAAAATCATCAGGGCTGGTTTATGCAAACCAGAACAACAATACTGCTGCTCAGAAATAGATGTAAGACATACTCTATAGGATACTAACCTGTAAGTCTTTCCAAGGCATCAAATCCATGCTTCAATGCTATAATGTCAAGAAAAGAAATTGTACCATCCTCAAACCTATATAAAAGGAGAAAAGGAAGACATAACTATGCAACTAAGTTTGCATAGTTCATATTGCATACTGTTCATATATAAGCTAAATATAACTGAAAATTATTTAGCAGAAATCACTAGCTCTCTTTAATTAACATTGGCGTAGCTTCAGCAACAGAGTGATTTTGCACAGCAGCTACAACTATAGAAATTCAGTTAATACAACAGTGTGGGGGAGGGGGAGTAAGGAGTAGTTTAGAAGCATTTGTTGTGGCGGAACAACTTCCGGTGGGCGGTGATGGTGGCAGGCAGGAGCTGCTAGGAGCTCTTGGCAGCTCAACTCTGAGAGATAGGCCTGGTAGAGCAAACGCTCCCACACCCCTGATGGATTGATACCAGGGGTGTTGCTGAGTCTGGAGACCCAACCCGAAGACCCCAGTGGAACTCCTCCCCTCAAGGGAGAGGTACCGAGAGGGTCCAGGAATGGCGGAAGACTAGCGGACCACTCCAGAGGAAGCAGACCCAAACGGATCCACATTTACTGCCAGCCCCGCTCATTTTAAATCAACATGAAAAGAATCTACGAAGGCAACAGCCAGAAGCTGAAAAGTAAGTTTCAAAAGAAATAATTCTTGTTTTAGGCAGAACTTGCCCTTGGGAAACTTTAAAATATAAGTATACGAAGAAATTCAAAAGAGAGAGATTATACCTAGGGGGGAAGACTCCTAACGGACCCCCCCCCAAAAAAAGAAAAGCTAACAATTGTCTTTATACAAAAGAAAATATTAAAAACACTGACCTTTAACAGACTTTGGTAGACTCTAAGAGCATCTAGAGCCAAGTAATTCAGATTGCAGGCCCTCTGCTTAGACAAACCCCCCTCCACCCCCCCTCCACCCCTCCCCTCGGGAGATAGAGAAGGCGACGAGAAGGTATTCTCGTGAGGAGGGCATCCTCGCGAGGCGGGAAGGTTTACTCGCGAGGAGGGAGGGAGGGAAAAGGAGAAGGCGACATGACGCAATGGAACGAGGAAAGCAGCGGAAAGGGAGAGGCGGGGTCTAAGGAGAAGGCTAGCAGCAGGAAGTGACGAAACAGAAAGGCCGAAGAAGGGCAGAAGCCAGAAGGAAGAAGACTACAACCATAGAGAAAGGACGACATAGAAAGGCCACCACAAATAGAAAATAAAATAAGTAAAATAATCAAATAAAAAATAAACAAACAAAGAAAGAAAGGAGCAAACAATAGACAGAAGGACAACAGTCAGGAGAAAACCAAGCGAGAATAAAACTTTAAAACATAGGCACATACAAACTAAAGATGCAAGAAAAGAGAGAGAAAGAGAAAAGAAGAGAAGGCCAAGAATTGGGAGCGGAGAAAAGATCAAGACAGAAGGAGACAACGGACCAAGATTAGAAGGGAACAGAAAGAGCCAGCGGAGAAGCGAAGGAAAAGGAAAAGGAGGGCTACTAAGACAGAATCAGAGGCATAAAACCGCAAACAAGGAGAGAGGAAACAGGGTGGGAGGAGGCAGAACGAGATCAGCTGAAGGAAACAAACATAAATTGACATCACTGTAAATATACATATATACCTAAATTGACATAAAATAAATAAAAGAAAATAAATTTACGCTACAGAACAATAATCAATTATATAAAGAAGCAAGAGGAGGAAAGAACACAAAAACATAAAGACACATACACACAAAATATAAAACAATAACAAAATACAACAAATAAATAAATAAATAAAAGAAAACAAAACAAAACAAAAACAAAGAAACTCAAGGCAATAACAATCAATAATAACAACAACTAATATCCTAATCCAATTAAAAGACATCAAAAGAACAAACAACACAAAAATAGAAAATAAAATAAAATAATAATAAAATAAATAAATATAAGAAGAACAATAAGAATAAAATAATAACAATATTAATAACAACAACAATAATTAAATATCTTTAAAAATATCACTTTAAAGAATAACAGGAAAGAATAATAATAATAATTAAATAATTAAAATTAACAAAAAATAAAATAAAAAGAAGATAAAAATAAATAAATAAATAAATAATACATTAATAAATTTATTTAATTATCCTTTAAGCCACAAAAAATAAAACAAAACAATAATAATAAATAAATAAATAAATAATAAAAATAATTATAAAAACAAAACAAAACAAAACAAAAACCAAGAAAAATTCTTTAAATAAAAAACAAATAAATAAATTAATAAGTAAAACTAAAGAAAATAATCACAAGAATAACAAATAATAAAATAAGAGAATCTAAGCAAAAACAATAATAAATATAAATATTTATATTTAAACAAAAGTAATAAAGTAAACAATAATATAAAAGAAGTAGAAATTGACAATAATAACTATAATAATAAAATAACAAAAACTAAATAAAAGCAATAAAAACAACAAAAACATCTATCTCAGAGAAGAAAGGATGGCTACACCAAAACCAAAGACGGAGAGAGAGGCTAAAGAACCAAAACTACCAGCCAGAAAAGGATCATGCTCAGAAGACCCAAACCCCAAAGACCATACTAAAGACATTCTAAAGGAAATTCAAAAAATATCGTAGAAACAAGTTGAAGGACAAAAAGAAGTTAAAGCATTAATAGAGAGCCAAAATAAACAATATGAAAAAGTTCAAGAAAAGTTAAATGAAATGAGAAATGAAATAAAAGAAGATCTAAGACAAATGAAAAATGAACTACTCAAAGCGACAACTGATATAAAAGAGCTAAAAGGAGCCAAAGAGAAAATGGAAGAGAACCAAAACAAATTCCAAAAGAAAATAGAAAAAATAGTGAAAAACAAAGAAACCCTAGAAAAGAACATAGAAAGAATCCGATTCAAAGAATTAGAATACCAATTAAGAATAAGAAACATACAGGAAGAAACACAAGAAGACCTAAGAAACAATAACCAAACTCATAGCAAACATACTAAAAAAGCAGGATCTAAAAGTAGACAAAGAATTAGACAGAGTGTACCATATACAAACTTCATACTCAAGAAAAAATAACACCCCAAGAGACGTTATAGTTCAACTCATCAGGAAAACAACGAGAGATGACATACTCCGGCAATCTAACAAAACCCCTTTGTTTCACAAAGACAACAGGATAACCATTCTTAAAGAACTTCCAATCTCCATCTTAAACAGAAGGAAAAAATACAATTTTCTTACCGACAAACTTAAAAGATGGAAAATTAGATTCAGATGGGAAAAGGAAGAGGGAATTATGTTAACCTACAAAGAACAAAGAATATGGATAACATCGCAGGACAAAGCGAGAGAATTCCTTAAAAGACTAAAAAAAGACCAATCGAAAAATCCACAGGAACCCTCCACAAAGAATCAAAGAGAAAAGAAAAGACAACGAACCCAATCATCAGACGAAGAGGAAACCAAAACTGACCAGGCAATGTCCAAGACAGACCAACCGGAAGATGGAGAGGATATAGATGATGATTTGGATGAAGAAAATAAACCTCAGGATGTATGAAAGACAATTAAAATTATACTCTAACAACGTAAATGGACTGAACTCTCCTAATAAAAGGAGGAAACTATTTTATCAAATTAATAAAGATTATTACCACATTGCAACGTTGCAGGAGACTCATATTTCTCAAAGACATGTAGCATATCTATCACACAAAAAAAACGGAAAGGTATATTATTCTTCACACGAAAAAATGAGGAGAGGAGTAGCAACTTATATAAAAGAAGACATACCATCAGAACTAAAATTTAGAGATGAAGAAGGGAGAGTAGTGGCAGTAATGATAACCACAGGGATGGAAAAAACATTGATATGCAACATATATGCCCCGAACAGCCCCAAAACAAAATTTATAAAATACCTGAAAGAAAAGGTCACTAATATCACCTATGACAATTTAATAATTGTAGGGGATTTCAACGGGGTTATAGATAAAAGAATAGACAAATCTGGTAACCTACAGAAGAAAAAGAAAGACCACACCGGCATTCTCCCAAAGAGCTTTATATCCCTCAAAGAAGAACTAGACCTGCACGACGTATGGAGACTCAGAAACCCTAAAGAAAGAGACTACACCCACTATTCTAACAGACACAAAACATGGTCGAGAATCGACATGATATGGCTCACAAACTCACTGACCATAAAAACTAAAAATACAAAAATACTCCCAAGAGAAAACTCAGATCATTGTCCATTAGAACTTACATTAAATCAGAGCAAAGGACAAAGGAGATGGCGCCTCAATGATAACTTAATAAAAACAGAGGAAGATATAAAGAAAAATAGAACCATAGTTAAAGAATTTTTTAATATAAATAATAGACCAGAAACAAAAATACAAATAGTTTGGGACACACTCAAGGCAGTAATGAGGGGCCACCTGATTCAACAAAATGCGATTAAAAATAAACTCAGAAACAAAGAAATCAACAACCTAGAAAAACAAATAGAAGAGGAAGAGAAGGCCCTAAAAGTAGAAACATCCAATCGAAAAAGGGAAAAGAAATTAGAAGCATTAAAGAAAAGAAAACAACATCTGGAATTAGAATCAATTGCAAAACAACTCAAGTATATAAAACAACAGCATTTTGAGAATGCCAACAAACCTGGAAGATGGCTCGCAAGAAAAGTAAGAAAAAAAGAAACAATCACAAATAATAACAAAAATAGTATCAGGAGATAAAGAAATAACATCAGACAAAGAGATATGGGAGGAATTTCAGAGGTATTATGAAAGGCTATACAATAAAGAAGAAATATCGGAAGAAGAAATAGCCAAATATTTAGGAAAACTTAAGTTACAGAAAATAACAGATGAGCAGTGTGAATTTCTAAATAGAGACATCTCAGAAGAAGAGATCAGAGAGACTATCAATAGCATGGACAGTAACAAGGCGCCAGGTGCTGACAGCTTCACGATGGGCTTTTATAAGACAATGTTAGAGGAAACTACACCCTTCCTTAAAGAAATAATGAACTCAGCTTTACAAAATAAAGGACTACCGAACTCATGGAATGAAGCAGTAATCACCATGATACACAAAGAAACAACCGATCCTACAGATGTCCGAAATTACAGGCCGATTTCCCTGCTAAATACCGATTATAAGATATTCACAAACATACTGGCAAAAAGATTGAAATTCTTCCTAAAGGACTGGATCCAAGAAGATCAGGCTGGTTTCTTACCGGACAGAAACATAAAAGAGAACCTAAGAACAATACTAAACACAGTGGAATATTACGACACTCATCATCAGAAAGAACTAGCACTACTATCACTAGATGCGGAAAAGGCATTCGACAACCTAAATTGGAACTTTTTCAAATTACTGATGGGCAAATTAGACCTAGGCTACCAATTCAAGAATGCTATAAACTCAATATACACCAACCAAGAAGCAAGAATTCAAATAAATGGACAGTTAACAGAAAAGTTCCAAATAAGTAAAGGGACTCGACAAGGATGTCCCCTCTCCCCCTTAATATTTATAATAGCACTAGAAACATTGCTGGAATACATAAGACGGGACACAGAGCTGAAAGTTTTGAAGATTGCCAAACAAGAATTCAAACTTCGGGCTTTTGCAGACGACGTAATCTGCATCATAGAGGACCCAGTCAAAAACATAGAAAAGTGAGAAAAATGGAAAGAGATTAAGAAAGACCTAATCAATTGGAGAAATTTAAACCTTTTGCTGATGGGGAGAATAGCTATAATAAAAATGAACATACTCCCTAAAATGTTATACCTCTTTAAAAATCTCCCCATAATACGCAACATGAAAATATTCGACATCTGGAATAGAGATCTATCAAAGTTTATCTGGAACGGAAAAAAATCCAGAATAAAACATAGATTACTAACGGATGCTAAGAATAGAGGGGGTTTTGGACTCCCCGATCTAAAAATTTATTATGAGGCCTCCACCCTAACTTGGGTAAAGGAATGGATAATACTCAAAAAAGAGAGATTACTAACACTAGAGGGATTCGACCTTAGAGCCGGATGGCATGAATGCATCTGGTATGGTAAAACAAAAGTGGAGAAGAATTTCGGGAATCATTTTGTCCGTTCCGCCTTGATAAAGATCTGGAATAAATATAAACAACATTTTCATACCAAAACCCCGATGTGGCTATCACCACTAGAAGCTAAACAACAAAGATTACTAGGATGGACAACCTGGCCAACTTACAAGGAAATCCTTAAAAAATCTAAAGATAAGTTTGAGCCGAAAACACAAGAGGAACTGACTAAGAAATTTAGCCACATAACATGGTTCCAGTACGCACAGATAAAAGAATCTTTCAATCAGGATAAAAAACTAGGCTTCACCGACAAAGAGGACTTCTGGGATAACTTAATCAAAACAGAAAAGAAAAACATCTCAAAAATTTACAACAAACTCCTAGAATGGGCCACGGAGACAGAGGGAGTAAAACAATGTATGGTAAACTGGGCAAAAAATATTGGAAGACAAATAAAAATGCACGAATGGGAACAACTATGGAGAAAAAAATCAAGATACACATAGTCATCAGACCTCAAGGAAAACTGGCTTAAATCATTCCACAGATGGTACATGACTCCTAAAAAATTAGTTCTAATGTACAAATCTTTAAGATCAAAATGTTGGAAATGTCAATCACATGAGGGTAGTTACTTCCACATGTGGTGGACTTGCAAAGAAACGAACAATTACTGGAAAACCATACACGAAGCTATACAGAAGATCCTTAGGAAAAAATACCCAATGAAACCTGAATATCTCCTACTAGGAATCACTGATAATGAACTAAAACTAGATCAAAATGAAGACATCTTGTTTACGTATCTTAGTACAGCTGCACGAATGGTTTTTGCAAAACACTGGAAAAGTGAGATAATACCATCAAAAGAACAATGGCTTAGGAAAGTAACCGAGATAAAAGACATGGACAAACTAACTTTCCTTTTAAAGAAAACCACAGGAAAGTGTATAAAGCAAACAGAATGGAAACTTTTCAAAGAATACCTCAAAGAAGAACTGAAAAAGGATTAAGAGAGAATATACAACCAAGGGTAAGAGACAAAGAAAGACAATACTCTTAAAGACAAGGAAAAAAATGAAAGAAAAAGAGGAAGAGAAAGGGAAGAGAGTATTTATACATATATCATATCATATCATATCATATAAAGACCAACATAGGGACATACAAAACAGATGAACTGCCACAAACAAGAATGGAAGTCAACTCCCCCCCCCTTTTTCCCCCTTCTAATTTTGTTTATTTTATTTATTTATTTTTATGATTTTTATTTTATTTTATTTTAGATTTTTTTGTTTTCTTCTTCAATTTTTTCCTATTTATTTATGTATATATATACATACATATATATACATATATACATAAATATTATGCATATATGTGCATATATGGGTTTTTTTTAGTTTTTTTCCTTTTTCTATCTCTCTGCCCCCCCCCCACCCCTCCTCTCTCATTTCCTACTATCATATCTATTTAATTGTTCACCCACTTATTATTGTAAAACAAAATGCACAATAAAAATTTATTTTTAAAAAAAGAAGCATTTGTTGTGGCCAACAGTTATAACCCATAAACAATCAGATATATATACAAGATCTACTGGTGAGTACCACATGAACTCTAAAATCTGACGTTTGTAAACAGTGTCTCTGACCTCCATTCTCTGGAGCTAGCTCTCATACAGTTTGACTTACTGTAGTCTCATTTTAGAGCGTTCATAGCTGATCCTGCCAAATCTTGGTCCAGGGCTTTGGTACTCCACAAATTCAACATGCTTTATGATAGCAGAACAATCAATTTTTCTGATTTGAAATACAGTTAGAAACTGGGTGAATTTTAGCCACACCCAAATATAATGTCACAGAAAGCTATGAAACCTAAAAGGGGTAATTTTTACCAAAAAGATGTAAAATATTCCTAAGAAAGAACTGGAACTTATAACAGGAATACTGAGCAGAGCCTATGCTTAGCCATACATAAAACAGACGAACAGGTTTACAATATTTAAACTGACCATCTCACTATGACCTGAAACCTATGTAACCAGAGAATAACTAATTTTAAAAAATGTTTTGCAGTATTACCTTTCAGCCACTGATTGTTTTGGTAAATAGAAATCCTCTTCTGCTAAATACGCAGCTGCAGTTCCTCCTCCAAAATAGGCTTTTCTTAAGCAAGAAGCAACATCATTTTTTACTATCAGAGCACCTAAACCAGTGGGAAACCCAAATATCTTGTAGAATGAAAGTGGCACAAAGTCTGCTAAACAAATGCTTAAGTCTAATGGGGAAGTGCTAACATAAGATGCTGCATCCAAGAGTACAAACCATTTTCCACAGACCTTAATAGGGCTCAGTTTACCAGATTTTATCTTTTCTATCCAATCAAGGGGGTATTTAGTGCCTGAAAAATTGCTCTGAGCAGGATAACAGAAGAGGTGAGGTGTTATACTACCCTTCTCTTCCACTACTATGTCATTTGTCCATGACATTTCCTTTGGTTTCACAGGCACAAAAGGGACATTCACTGCAGCAGCAATTCCTCTCATGCCCACCACAGATGTGTGGCTATCAGTGAGGTAGCAAAACTGGCTGCCAGGATCCTCCAGTTTTTCAGGTATCCAGGGGAAAGTCTCTGCAACCAACTTGAGTGCAGTTGTACTTCCTGAAGTGAAAATGACAGTGTAGTCTTCTACGGTTGTATTGAAGTGCTGTAATATCCTGCAAAAGAAGAAGAAAAACAGCAACTTTGAAGAGGCATTTAGAAAGTACAAAAAATACTTTTCTTGGCTGCTGTGTTTAAGCAGACGAGATATGTAAGCTACATTGTGTTTTCCATATTGAATTTCAATCTTATGCACCACCAAGATTATTCTGATCAGTTTGTTAAATTATGGCATGAGGTAATGCATAGGACATTTGTCACCAGCATTTTTTAAATGAAGAAGCAGTCACAAAATATTTCTGCCAAATACCAGGCAAGAGGGACCACCTTCATTCATATTTCCCCATCTATTGTTTCGCCCTTGAGAATCATCCCAGCATTCCACCAAGTCATTGCCACCTTGGATCCTGATCCTCTTTTCTATGGGATGAGGGGTCCTTTAAAACTGAATCGCATCAACAAACGTTATGAATATCCTTGGTTCAAGTTCACTTTATGATAGTCAATGACCAGCTCGTTAGAAGAGGGACACAGTCCCGCACAAACACATCAGGTTCAGAACTCTAAAACTTGCCTAAAACTTCCTTGGTACTTCTTCGTCATAATTATTTTATAAAATTTTGAACAATTCAGCAGGACTAAGCATCCTACTTTCTCTTCAACTTTGCAAAAAAGACCTTTTGTGAGCACTCTTCGGGTACAGGTTCATTATAACCTTCAAATCCACCTAATGATAATCTAATAATGTACGTCACAGTGATATAAAATGCAATAATTTGTACATTACATCAAAAAGCTGTGGGAAACACTGCTGAAATCAAAAAGTCACACATTTTGCAAAATTAATTCAGTTATGACTGACAGTAGCTTGGTGGGTCTCTCCTTATGAAAGCTCTCAAAATATTTTCATTATAGCTCTATTATAATGCATACAAGATACACTGAGTCACTGGCTGAGTCCATAGATCATACAGTCTAGCAATTCATCACTCTCATCAATATTTAATTGTGCACCCAGTTACATGTTATAGGGAGTTTGCAATTGGTACATTTTGTTCTTTGGGCAAGATAGAAACATAACAATTTCAACATGTACTTTTGATATGCCCATTTCTGCTAAGTCATTACAATCTTGAAAGTTTTTTCCCTAAGCTTTGACTTTTATTTTTCAAAGTTATAATAATTTAAAGACAGATGTTTAGTCTGAAATCTTTTTGATCTGAATCTATTTTCCCCTACCACCTTCACTGCTTGTATCTAATACAGCGATGAAACCATAATTTAAATCAATTGAAGTTTGTTTATCACCTTATCCAACCAGCATAATCACAAACAATGGAATCAAATGCCATTGAGAAATTCAACAGAACCAATAGATGAATCTGCCTGATAGTTACCTAGAGTAATGAAGACCACTGAAGCAATTTTATGAGGGGTTGGAATTAAGCGTTCTTCCAAAGCAGCATTTATAACCTAAATTTCATCCATAATCCACCAATTCTTTCCTGACAGCTCTGATCAGCCAGGAAGGACATGTGCCTAGCTTCTTCAATTTGTCCACATCATCATGTTGTTCATTCATTCAGTCACTTCCAACTCTTCGTGACCTAATGGACCAGCCCACGCCAGAGCTCCCCGTCAGCCATCACCACCCCACACAGACGACATTGTCATCAGCATACTGGAGTTCTATAACAGATGTTGTTGTAACTTTGGTTTTGACTTTCAGTCTGCTGAGGTTAAACAGCATGCCATCTGTCCGATAGATGATTTCCACTCCGGTGGGAAGCTTCCCATCAACAAGGTGAAGTATCATAGCAATGAAGATGGAGAATAGAGTTGGGGCAATAACACCTCCCCGTTTGACACCCGATTCCACTTTAAATGGGTCACTTTGGGAGCCATTGCTGTCCAAGACTGTTGCCATCATGTCATCATGGAGGTGTCGCAGGATGTTCACAAATTTGTTAGGGCACCCAATTTTTTGGAGGATGGTCCAGAGAGCACTGTGATTCACTGTGTCAAATGCCTTTGCAAGGTCGATGAATGCCATGTACAGAGGTTGGTTTTGTTCCCTGCATTTTTCTTGGAGCTGTCATGCAGTGAAGGTCATGTCCACGGTTCCTCTGGGATTCTGGGAGGGTGTCTTCTGAGAGGGGCAGAAGGCGGTTTCTTGCGAGGATTTTCCCAGCGTAGGTTAGAAGGGAGATACCTCGATAGTTTCCGCAGTCTGTTCTTTCCCCTTTTTTGAAGAGGGTGAATATGGTGGCATCCTTGAAATCTGCTGGGATTTTCTCGGTCACCCACACTTTTTCTATGAGCTGGTGGAGTTGGTGTGTCAGCTCAGGTCCTCCCTCTTTAAAGATTTCAGCAGGGATCCCATCCGGTCAGCTGGCTTTGTTATTCTTCTGTTGGCTGCTGGCATTGCTCACTTCTTCCAAACTAGGCAATGCTGCAAGCTCATCCCTGGTTTGTTGTTGTGGGATTTGTGAGAGGACCTCTTCGGCCACATTGGAGCTGCGGTTCAGGAGGCTTTGGTAGTGTTCTTTCCAACGTAGTGCAATTGAGTTTTGGTCCTTCAGGAGTTTGGTTCCATCTGATGAGCGTAGAGGCTGTATGCCATGGTTTCTTGGTCCGTAGATGACCTTTGTGGCTTTGAAAAATCCCTGAGCATTATGGGTATCTGCCAGGTGTTGGATTTCTTCAGCCTTCTTTGTCCACCAGATGTTCTTGAGTTCTCTTGTCCTTCTTTGGACCTCAGCTTTTGCACTGGCGTAGATCTTTTTCTTAGCAGCACAGTTGATGTCTCTGCCATGTTTGGAAGGCTTTCCTTTTCTTGTCAATTAGCTGTTGGATCTCGTCATTTTCGTCAAACCAATCTTGATGTTTCTTGGTTGATATCCAATAGTTTCTTCGTAGGCTGTGATGATGGAGGTCTTCAGTTTGTTCCAATGTTCCTCAACATTTTCGGGGTGTACTGTGGGTAGATGGTCCTTGAGTGCTGTTTGGAGATGGGCTCGTCTGGAGGGCTCCTGAAGGGCTTGGGTGTTCATTTTGCGCCTTGTCTTCCTTCCTTGGAGTAGTCTTCTGCTTAAAAGGTGTAAGGACCCCTGTCCTAGATCATCTCTGTATTCCACAGATCAACTACATCAAGAGAATCTTGAACTCCACCAGTTGAAAATCTTGAGAATCTTGAACTCCACCAGTGAGTGAAACATTAGTTTGGACCACTGGGTTCATTATTCCCTGAGTGTGTACCATTTTAGTGGGTTCCCATCAGGGCAGATTTAAGCTCATGTCCTTCAACCAACCCTTTCAAGCCACATCTACTGTCACATGGATAGTTAAAAAATAAAGAGTGAAAAACTAGGTATAGGCTTTCTCTCTTTAAAAGGAGCTACTTTTGTGTGTGTAGAGCTGGACTCAGACTTGGGTGTGCTTCTACTAGTCTCACTAATGTCAGTGAATCTAGTAACTTATTTTATTTCAACATATCTAATCTAAACTTGATCATATTTGGATTCTGAAGACCAAGGCCCGGTTATGTGCGAGTTTACATCAAGTCGTGCTCCAGTGTAATAAGGTATGGTCACCTCTTTTACCCACTCCTGCTTGATTTTGAACCACCTGTTGCCCTGCATGGCTGAATTTGCCATTGTCCTACCACATTTGACTGGTGTAGCAACAGAAATAAACAAAAAAAGTTTTTTAAAAAAACAATTTACATTCATTGGATCATGCTCCCAGAAATATTTAAAATAAGATCATTTGCTTATATGATAAGCTGCATGCTCCCTTGTTCTAAAGCAGACTATGTGTTCCACTCTTTTCCACAGTCATCCATGCTTCCAAGAAACTGGTTCTACAGGATCTCCTCTGTGGAAAGCTCCAGTGAGAGATTACCCAAGTTTCATCAGTGGCAAAAGGACCGAAGTACATTACTACAATACAGCTATTACTATACTTGTGTATTTTTTTTTCCTTGTTGCAGTACAACCACTTAGGTGAAAAAAAGATATTATCTGGCAAATATCCACCAGTATTTTATTTGCTTGCCAAAAAAAGGGCAAAACTGGTTCTACGGGGTTTCGCCTACGGAAAGCTCCAGTGAGAGATTGCTCCCCAATTGTACACTTATGTACGCAGTTTCATCAGTGGCAAAAGGCCCAATGGCTTCTGGCTCTCTCACTTGTGATGTCAAGAGAAACATTAAAACTGTATATTTGGCTTGGGTCCAGAATACCTGAAAGATTGTATCCTTCTCTATGAAACCGCTTGAGTTCCGTGATCTTCAGATGGGAGCTTGATCTCAATCCTACTGAAGGAGGCTCAAGCCTGTAGTAGATTTGCTTTGGTAACAAAATGGGAAGAAAGTACCCCTCTCTGCAGAGAGGGAGTAACACGTCAATCGCAGGGTGGAAATGCTCCAAGAAATTGTGTGTTCTGCAATAGATAAGCTCATGAAGGTAGTCATAGATAAGTCATGAAGGTAGGGCTTGCGGAACATGGGCTGAACATGGGCTAGGACTTGAGTGGCAACAGATATTTGACTGAAATTTGCCCCAGAAAACATGTGCAGTAGAATCTTGATAGATAAGAAAAACCTATATAATGTGTGGTTAAGGGGTGTGGGGGATGGAAGTCTTTTCAAGTACTGTGACCTGCATGTGCAGTACGGCTGATCCGTCTCCTTATAGCCATAATGGAATAAACCTTGCTTTTGATTTACTCCTGAGACTTGGACATTTTGCCTGTTTGCCTCCTGCGACCGGACCTTCAACAGGGACCCTGATTTGGGGTCCCTTACACTATTACTGACATTGTTTCGTCATCCGAGCACATGTGAGAGGGCACCTTTAGTGGCTGCTCCCAAGCTGTGAAATTCTCTTCCGCAGGAGGCTCTTCTTCCACTGGAGGCTCTTCTTCCACTAACAGGCAAATACCTTTTTATTTAAATAGGTTTGGGGTGATAAACTAATGTAGAAGGGTTTTTTAATTGGGATGCCTGCTGTCATTTATTATTATACTAGCTTGGGGACCCGGCGGTGCCCGGGTT